CCCCCTCCTAAACCCATGCTGGCTGGCTCTGATCCCTTGTCCATCCTGTAGCTGCTGTGTGATTGCACTCAGGATGATCTGCTCCATAACCTTGTCAGGCACTGAGGTCAGGATTACAGGCCTGTAGTTTCCCGGGTCCTCCTTGCAACCCTTTTTGTGGATTGGCATGACATTCGCCAACTTCCAATCATTTGGGACCTCCCCACAGAGCCAGGACTGTTGGTAAAGGATGGAGAGTGGCTTGGCAAGGTCTTCTGCCAGCTCCCTCATCACCCTAGGATGGATCCCATCTGGTCCCATGGACTTGTGTGGATCCAGGTGGCTCAGTAAGTCACTGACTATTTCCTTCTGGAATACAGGGGGGCTATTTGGCTTCCTGTCCCTGTCTACCAGCTCCAGAGGACAGTTGTCCTGAGGGCCACCTGTCCTACTGGTGAATACTGAGTCAAAGTAGGTGTTAAATACCTCAGCCTTCTCCTCATCCCTATTAACTATGTTCCCCCCTTAAGTCCAACAAGGGATGGAGGTTTTCCTTGCCCCTCCTTTTGTTATTAATGTATTTATAGAAGCGAAGCCCCTGGTGGTCTAGTGGTAAAGGCGCGGTGCTGTCACCGCTGAGACCCGGGTTCGATTCCTGGTCAGGGCCACTCCCGGGGTGATGGAGCTCGTTAACCCTTAAATAGGCAATCCATCTACGTCCTAAGGACCTCGCTGCCACCGTCCAAGCTTGCTTGGCCCCGGCAGATGAACCTTAGGATTAAAGGGTGGACTCAGTTCCGCGCACACTGTGTCTCACCTAAAAAATCCAATGCGCAGGCTGGAAGGTGTAAAGACCTTCCCTGGATCTTTGCTCGCGAAGACTGGTCATTATTTATAGAAGCACTTTTTGTTATCCTTAACAGAAGTAGCCAAATTGACTTCAAATTCCACTTTTGTCTCTCTAATTTTCTTTCTGCATGACCTAGTTATACTCCTAAAATCATCCTGAGTAGCCAGCCCTCTTTTCCACAGTCTGTAAGCTCTCTTTTTATCCCTGATTTCCTTCACAATCTCCCCATTCAACCAAGCTGGTCGTCTACCCCGCCGGTTTGCCTTTTGGCACACTGGTACAACCTGTTCCTGTGCACTCAAGACTTCCTTCTTGAAGCACATCCATCCCTCCTGTACCCCCTTGTTTTCAAGGATTTTTTTCCAGGGTATGTTCTGGACCAGTCTTCTGAACAGGCAAAAATCTGCCCTCTGTAAGTCCAGTGTGGAGATTTTATTGATGGCCTTCCTTGTATCCCTGAGTATTGCAAATTCTATTATTTCATGGTCACTGTACCCCAGGTGGCCTCTGACCACTACATCTCCCACCAGTCCCTCTCTGTTTGTAAACAACAGGTCTAGTGGGACCCCACCCCTGGTAGGTTCATTTACCAACTGGAGCAGGAAATTATCCTCTATACACTCTAGGTATCTTTTAGACTGCCTCTTCTCTGCCATGTTGAACTCCCAGCAGATATCTGGCAGGTTGAAGTTGCCCACAAGAACAAGGGCTGGTGATTTCAAGACATCTGCCAGCTGCTTGTAGAATAATTCATCCCCTTCATCATCCTGGTTGGGTGGTCTATAACAGACTCCCATTAGGATGTCAACCTTTTTGGCCTTCCCCCTGATTTCGATCCACAGGCACTCAACCTTATCATTGGTGACCTCAAGTTCTACAGAGTCAAGGGACTCTCTAACAATGAAGTCCAACAGGTCCGGGCTGGAGCAGAACAGGGTGCAGGAAAAAAAACCCGAAGCAAGTTGAGGTTGGAAAACAACCAGATGACCAGGCCGAGAACAAAATGACCTCAGAGCCTCTCCAACACACACCTCTGCCTGAGTTAAAGCAAAAGTGAAGTACCTGCTGTTTTCCGAGGAGAGGGAAAAAACCAATTACACACACACACATATACACAAATAGTCTTCTGGTAGCCATCAGTCTGGAATGCAGGTTGCGGCCAGTTCTTTTGTGTGTGTCAATTACCCTAGGCAGACTGCCCTTCCCCCTCCCTCATTCAACATCTTTGTTTTACATCAACACAGGGGAAAGAAAAATTCCTGTTTGTTTTTTTAGAACAAGTAAATCTATGACACTGGGTTAGGGGAATTGACTAAGTCTCTGACTGAGGCAACCAAGAACAAAGAGATAGAGCCTATTGCATGGGGCCCAGAGAGAGAACAAGCTTTTAAAGCAATAAAATGAGCTTTGTCATCTGGTCCTGCTCTTGGGTTCCCAGATTATGCAAAACCTTTCAAAAGGAAATTATACCTAGATACCAGCTTCCAGAGTCAATCAAATCAGACAAAGGTGATCATTTTACAGCAAATATAATTTATCAGCTGTATAAGACTTTGGGCATAGAGAGAAAACTACATGCACCATATCACCCACATTCTTCAGGACAAGCAGAAAGGATGAATAGGACATTAAAGGAAAAGATAGCAAAAATATGTGTATACACTAATCTGAAATGGTCAGAAGCTTTAAATTTGTCTCTGAGACAACTCATAAGACTAATACCAGCAGAAATTTTATTTGAGAGGTGTGAGATACTGGATTCAAATCTCACTGGATTATTTATTGGGTCGGAACAAATTGTGTGTGCGGGAAAGAGGCCAAGCCTGCAGTCTCATGGTAGCCATGGAAGAGAGCATGACAGTCAGGTGTCACAGCCTCACGGAAGCCACATGGCAGGGTGCATGGAAGCTGTCAATCAAAAGACCTGCCTGGTAGCCCACCCACACCATGCCCCCTGGAACCCCTGACCCAGCCTCTGATTAGCTGCACCACCCCTCACTCTGGCCTAGAGGACACTGAGTGGTCAGTGAGTCAGACATCCCGCCTGGGACGGATGGCCATAGTGGCCAGACCATATAAATACAGGGGCATAGAGTCTCCTCTTTCTCTTCTCCAGCCACCACCATGTGAAAGATTCTAGGTGGTAACTATTGTTCTCTTCTTCTAGTGCCTTTCTTTATTCCTTCTCTCGTCTCTCTCTTTTCTCCTGTTTCTTCTCTTAATGTCTTTTCTGTGTTTACTATTTCCTTAATCTCTTTTGGGTAACAAAACCAATTGGTTGTATTTTACTAAGCTGGTGTGCTGGGTACTTTGGTAAAATACTTTGTCTTGGTTGTAACATTGCCTCTTTTACCTTTTGCCAAAATGCCTATTTTCCTGCTAAATTAAAAGATATCTTTTAGGATAATGTGTTGACGTTTTCTCTTTATGCGACCTCAAGGTATTAAGAACCAAAGGTTCTGCAAGAGTTCAGTAGGAACTCTTGGAGTCTTAAATAAAAGTAATACTTTTAGTAAAACTTGAGGCTTCAGGACTGGGGTGTTACAAGAGGAACTTAGCTATACCAGGGGTTTATATCCCAGTTAAGACCAGCCTGTTGGATGGACATAAATGCCTGACCCAGTATGTTATATATGTGCAGAAAGGGTTCAAAGAGCAGAGAAAGTATGAACAGTAGTATCAGCCCAACCTACCTGAAATACAGGTACATAATATACAACTTGGGGATGAAGTGTTAATCAAGATAATCTCATGAAAATTCAAATTAGAACCTAAATGGGAGGGGTCGTAAACTGTCTTACTGTGTTCTTATTTTGCTGTTTACGTTTTGGGTAAGGAAAACTGGATACACTGTTCTCATATCAAATGAGAAGTGAATGATCAACCAGTTGGTCAATCACTGACTTTTGAGAATCTTTCATGGTTTTGTCCTAATCATTTCTACCCTATGATAATCTTGTTAGCCTTAATTCTTTTGTGTTTGTCACTTGTAATAATGCATAAGGGCAATGGTTAAATGCCCTGAAACTTTTCCTTTTAATTGTATTGGCAGATATGCTCTATTAAAACAAAGGAAGGGCTATTGAGGAATACATTTATTGCAGGTGGGTTGGTGTGCAGCTGCAGTTCCAGCTTCAGATTGAACTCTAGGTGACAGGAAATAGCTGGAGCCCCAGGCAAGAGGCTGTGACCTGGCACCAATCCTTTGCACAACAAAGGGCATAAGACCTGTGGTGTTAATAAGGTGACCTACCACTCACAGACACAACAGGAGCAGATGACTCAGCAGGAAAACCCCAGACTATCAGGCACATAGACTGTAAGGGTAAAAAACCACAGGGATTCCTTGGTTCAGGGTCCCTTCCAGGAAACACCAAGCTCAAGCTATATCTGTGTTACTGTGCCATGATTAAATTGCTCTAAGGATCCAGAGGTCTGAGACTGCTATGGGAAATCTGGTCTGACTCTGTGAATGTGGTATGTGTAGGGACTCAAGTGGGGCACCCATCAGCTCACTGGAGCCACCCGCTGCAAAGGGGCTCCAGTCCCAGCTAGTTAAACTCTTTGGTGGTAGGAATGTGACTGCCAGAGTGCCTCCTGAATGGTCAGACAGGAAGGTTTCCTTAACAAACTAAGCAGATCACCTTGTCATAGAAGGAGAACAAGTCAGTCAAGTAAGACCTGCCTTTCATAAACCCATGCTGTCTCAACCTGATCCCCTGGTTTTCCTGTATGTGTCACATGATGGCACTCAAGATGATCTGCTCCATGACCTTCCCCAGGACTGAGGTCAGGTTGACAGGCCTGTAGTTCCCCAGATCTTCCTTCTGACCTTTCTTGTAGATGGGCATCACATTTTCCTGTTGGAGGTTCCCCACGAGAGATTTATTCATGGTGGAGAAAAATCTCTGAAGAGAAAGAGAACTGAAGAAAAAACAGCTTTGGAATGCAGCTAAACTACTGGACAACAGATAACTTCCTACCTCAGAGACTGCTTTTCATGTTATAAAAATTTTATGTTTATTCAATTAAGTAACAATGTTGTTAGAAAAAACCTTACTTTGTATGTAATCTGCAGTTTCAATTATTTAAAGTCCTGTCCCTATTTGCTGATTGTAACCCCTCTGCTTATTGGCTCCTACTGGTTAAAATTTAAAGCTTTTCCCCTTCTTTCTATCTCTTCTCACCCATATTTGGATGTGTTTAGCTCAATTTCTCCATTTATAGACATCCCCTTGCATGAAAACTCCCTTAATTCCTCCCAAATTCCACACATTCCATGCTCTACCACATAAAAGCTAGTTTACCCCTGAAATAAAAAAATCGTCCATTTTGTCTTCACTGTGTGTGATTTCTGTGCAGAGTGGACACACGGTCTTAATATTTAGGAGGTTTGATAGCTTTCGTCTTCGATATTTTCCAACTTTCAGTCTCCTGGGTCCTCCACAGTTGACCAGAACTGCTGGTAAAGTGATTAAAAGTGGTTTGGTGAGCTCTTCTACCAGCTCCATCAGTACTCTTGGGTGGATCCCATCTGGCACCATGGACTTGTGTGGGTCTAAGTGGCATAGCAGGTCTCTAAACATTTCATCCTGGATTATGGGGACTTCATTCTGCTCCCCATTTCTGTTTTCCAGCTCAAGGGGCTGGTTACCTTGATGACGTCTTGTTATTAAAGACTGAGGCAAAGAAGGCATTAAGTACCTCAGATTTTTCCTCATCACTATATTTTTTGTCACTATCTTTGACCCCACATCCAACAAAGGATGGAGATTCTCCTTGGCTCTCCTTTTGTTGCTGATGCATTTGAAAAAACATTCTTTGTTGTCTTTTATGGCAGTGGTCAGATAAGTTCTAGTTGAGTTTGGCCCTTCTAATTTTCTCCCTACATAAGCTCACAACATCCTTGTAGTCTTCCTGAGTTGCTTGACCCTTCTTCCAAAAGGTGAAACACTCTTTTATTCCCTGAGTTCCAGACAAAGCTCTCTATTCAGTCAGGCTGATCTTCCCCTCTGGCTAGTCTTTTGGCACATGGGGACAGCCTCCTCCTGTGCCTTTAAGATTTCCTTCTTAAAGCACGTTCAGCCTTCCTGGACTCTTTTGCCCTTCAGGACTGCCTCCCAAGGGACTCTCTCAAGCAGTTTCCTAAACAGACCAGTCTGCCCTCTGAAAGTCTAAGGCAGCACTTCTGCTGACCTCCCTCCTTACTTCTCTGAGAATTGTAAACTCTATCATTTTGTGATCACTATGCCCAAGATGGCCTCCGACCATCACATCACCCACCAGTCCTTCTCTGTTCACAAACAGCAGGTCCAGCAGGGCACCTTCCCTGGTTGGCTCACTCATACGTGCACATTTCAAATTGCAATCTGATTGTCAGCCCTCTCTATCAAGTGACCCAGAAGAAGAATGATTTCAAATGGGGTCCTGAGAAATGACAAGCCTTTGAAAAAATCAAACAGAAGATAGTTCATGCAGTAACACTTTGACCCATCTGGACAGAGCAAGATTATCCCTGGAAGTGTTCAAGTCCAGGTTGGATGGGGCTCTAAGTAACCAGGTCTAGTGGAAGGTTCCTTTCCCATGGCAGACGGATTGTAACTAGATGAGCTTTAAGGTTCCTTCCAACCATTCTAGGATTCTATGATTTCCAGATGTAAAAAATGTGCTCTACACTGGGGAGAATGGCCCTACCTGGAGTGTAGGAGCATCTAGACAGACAACACCAGCCACCTGGATGATAAAAGAAGAAGAAAATACTAAAGAAAAAATATTGTGGTCCTGAGTGAGCCAGAGCTAAGATTAGTGCATGTGAAAAGAATCACAAGGTCAAGCTGGAAAGCCACTTGAGGTGTGATCGTTCTTTGCAACTGAAAGCAGTCAGGTGGGCATGTGTGGTATGCGTGGGGATAAGAAACATCTGTCCTGCCTTGATATTCTGTATATTATATGGGGTAGTAGAGTTATGAGTTAGTTCTGTCTGGACAAAGTCTGTCTCCACTTGGATTCATTCGCCTCACTGTAGCCTCTGCCAGAAAGCAGCAGGGAAGACTCAAGGTCAACCCCTCGGCTTTTGGAGTCAGGGATACAGAGGATCTGAAGCCTGCTATACTTCAACTGAAAAAGAGATACTGGCAGCTTGTGAAGGGGTTTGAGCTGCTTCAGAGGTGATTGGTACTGAAGTATAGCTCCTCCTGGCACCCTGGTTACCTGTGTTGGCTTGGATGTTCAAAAGGCGGGTCTCCTCTGCACATCATGCAACTGATGCTACATGGAGTAAGTGGATCGCACTGATCACACAATGAGCTTGAATCGGAAATGCCAGTCTTCCAGGAATCTTTGAAGTGATCATGGACTGGCTAGAAGGCAAAGATTTTGGAATGTCATCAGAGGAGGTGACACATGCTGAAGAGACCACACTGTATAATAAATTACCAGGAAGTGAGAATCACTATGCCTTGTTTACTGATGGATCCTGCTGTATTGTGGGAAAGTATCGGAGATGGAAAGTAACAGTATGAAGTCCCCTACAACAAGTTGCAGAAACTGCAGAAGGTGAATGGAGTCACTTTGCAGAGGTGAAAGCTCTCCAGCTCGCTCTAGATATTGCTGAATGAGAAAAATGGCCAATATTTTATCTCCATACTGATTCATGGATGGTGGCAAATGCCCTGTGGGGGTGGTTGCAGCAATGGAAGCAGAAAAACTGGCAGTGTAGGGGTAGACCCATCTGGGCTGCTGCATTATGGCAAGATATTGCTGCTTGGCTGGAGAACCCAGCTATGAAGGTATGTGACATAGATGCTCATGTAGCCAAGAGTCGGGCCACTGAAGAACACCAGAACAATCAGTAGGTGGATCAGGCTGCTAAGATTGAAGTGGATTTGGATTGGCAAGTTAAGGGTGAATTATTTCTGCCTTGGTGGGCCCATGATACCTCAGGCCATCAAGGAAAAAACCCAACGTATATGTGGGTTCATGAGAAAGGGGTGGACTTGACCATGGACACTTGCGGGGAGGCAGGGGGAATGAGTGTGATGGTTTTGATCTAGGCCTTCCTGGTAACCAGTTTGTAACCAAGGAAGTGGCCAAGTACCCAGTATTCCATACGATTTTTACGTAAACCAGAGTATAAATAAGTTGGAGATTAGAGACCTCGCGCTCTTCCCTTTCAACGAGGTTCAGGAGCAGTGAGTCCTTGTGTTGGTATCGCTTATCTAAAGCTGAGACCTGCAGCGACCGCTGGCCTGCCATGTGGGGGGTTCAGAGAGTGCTGGCTGTGTCTGCCAATCCTGCTTTTCTAAGGGAAGTGGTGAGATCTGTTTTGTTAGTTACTAGTATAGTTCTTGAGTTTGATCGGGTATACCTGTTCGGTGTCCCTTTTGTTCCCTTTTGTCCTTTTTTTTTCCCTTTCCCTATCCCTTTGGGGGGGGTGGATTCCCTTTTACTGTGTATATAGCATCTTAACTGTATATAACTGTAATTTACGTAAATATATATATTTTTATATAAGCAGCTTGACTTTGGGTTCTTTAATTTTTATAGTTTTTTTTCTTTGCCCTAAGAGGAGAAGGGAGGGGGGAAGGGGGCTGCTGTCGTGACTTTCGGGCATTTGGAAGGGAACCAGGTCCAAACTATCACAATGAGTGAGCAGCTTCATGGTACCTAGTTGCTGGCTGGGGTTAGACCATGACATGTGACCTATGGAAAAAGACAGGCATCCAAGAGTATAAAACCATATGTAAATTGAAATATATATTAAAATAACCCACACAATACTGAGAAGAAATCTTGTGCTGAGAGAGACTGATTTAAAGATACTGCATAACTAAGATAAAACATAGCCTGTAGAGCAAATCTTCAGAAAGAAAAAACTTTATCTCACAGTTTCATTTGCTACCTTCAGCTGTCCTGAGGATGAGACATCAGAATTATCCAAGTCATTAATAACCAGCACAGAAATTTACACACTGGTATAAGAGTTTACAGGATTAAAATAATGTACTTATTGTGTGATGGCAATTGTTGAATTTTTTAAACTGCATTTCAAGACAATTAATTAAACTACAGTATAGTTCAGGAAAGGTGTCAGGCTGACATACTGGAGGATTAGAGAATCAAATAAAAGCAAAAAATTTTCTATGCTTTTATAAATTCATATGCTTTCTTCATTGTTTAAAAAGAGGTCCAGAAGGTAGAAGGGAAACTCATAATTAAGGATACATACACCCAGACATGACCCTGTGTGCATCTATGTGGAGGAACTATTCGTTAAAGGAAGAGACTGTTGAACCATCTAGAACTGTTTAGTCTGTGGCATGTCTTGTGATGCAACCAACTACAGATAAAGCCTATCTAAATAATGCCTTTGAGATATGGATGTCTGTAGAAAATGGGATTAAGACACAGAATCTAAAAATATAGGCAGACTGTAACAAGGTTCTGATCATTATGAAATCTGATGAAGTTACTGTGGTATCAAAACCTTTAATACTCTAAAACTCTTTATGAAGTCTAGGAATACTGCATATGGGATCCATTAAGTGATACAAGGCTAGATCGCATATAGCCTTACCTTAAGTGAAACCCCCCTACATTCTGTTTAATAAAGTGCTGTATTTCTAAAATCTGCTGTTGCAGCAGTATTAAACATAAAATGCTCTTTCAGTAGGGTCATCCTTTATTCCCTTTACATGCATCATATATATGTATGTATGTGTGTCTGCGTGTGCATCTGAAGCATGTAAATAAACCCTAAAATTGACTACTTTAGGCTTTCTCTGTCAGAACTCTCAGCATAATGAAGCATAAATTTCCTTAAGATTCTTTGGCAAACTCATGCTCTATTCAGACTGAGATCCTTTCTCTCCTACAGAACTGCAAACTCTAATGGTTCTATATTGTTTATTGAGTCATTCAAACATACACAGAGCATGCTAGATTTCTTCCTGCTATCTCCTTCTTTCTAGGTTATATAAGGACACCTTTTCATTTTTGCATAGTTTGCTAGGTTATGCTGCTTGCAAAGGCACTGATGAACATGTAATTAGTGACAAACATGTTTGCACTTTGTTTTGAAGGACTGACAAACTCTCAAACAGATGACTAAACTGACCTCTTTTTAAACTGAAGACAGAGGAAAGTCATTCTGAGGGATTTTGATCTCTGAGGTGGGAAAGCAAGAAGAATTATGATTTTTTAATTTAGAGCAGATGACTTTCCATTCTGTTTTCTCTTAATAGTTCATCATGTGAACTGGAATAAATCCTACTGTTTACTTTGTCCTATGGATGACAGATAAAACCCAATGATTTAAATTATTTTATTATCCAAATTTCACAGATTATTCAATTTGCATTATCCTGTCACAGGTAATATGCATAGCAGTGCATTCAAAGATGAACTGGTGCCTTTTCTATATGCTTCTAATAAGGACTTAGTTGCTCATAAATCTGTCAGAAAAAACATGGGTTTAAAAGGTACATATGAGCTTGAAGGGGCAAAAAACCACCTAATATGGTTTTCAAAATTACAGAGGTTTAACCATGACTTATAATGGTTTTAATTGAATATGTAGATGCTTTTGCGAATCCTATTAGCAGCCTATTTACATACCCTGCCTGAATTGTTTATGCCAGCAAGCATACCACTTACCCTCAGCATAGGGCCATTCTGGAACACATGGGGTTCATCACAGACTACACAGTATTCATTCAATACCGGTATCCGCTGCTCAGCAAATTCAATTGTCTGGGAACAATGAAAATGAGAAAAACAACATCTGCTTAAAAATAATTAAGCTCATGCTCCACAGTGTTTCATAAATGGATAAGATATGACATCCTACCTGCACAAGAAAGCCACGGTCTTGTACCAAAATGCATTTTGCACCATAATTTTGCTGCAATGAAAAAGGTTAAGGGAACTTCAGTGTTGATAAACTAATTAGAAGGAATTTTTTTGCATACCAATATGTTAAACAATATTTGCATCTAATAAGATCTGTCATTTACATAAACCAACCATTTCAAATCATCAAACCTTTTACTGTTTGGTGAGTGTGGGGTAGATTTTCAACATTTCTTTTTCGTTCCTAAATCTGATGTATCAGTTTTGCATCTCAGCATCCCAAAACCTTTAATCTCAAATGGAAACACCAGGGTCTTCACTCCATTCTAATCAACTGGCATTTGGTAACTTCCTTTAAATTTTAACTGTGTATTGTCTGTTCAAATGGGCTATATGCTTAGGCTTGAGTGATTAATATAACTCTCAGAACAGCTGAAAATATTTTTCATTTAAATATTTGCTAAGATCTCACTTCTGTGAGCACCACGCTAACAGATGACTGTGCTCAGATCCCACTCAGATTCTTTCTGCATTTTTATTTCGATGTACAACAATTTAATTAGGAGGATCTTTTGTTATAGGAGTCACTAATGTACAAAATTCCCTCTGGGCTGATATTTATATCAGTCATCTCTATTTACAGTTTTTTGGGGTTTTGTTTTTGTTTATAGTCTTATTTTCTTTCATTTCTCTAATTCCAATGTGATGATGATCACAGCTGAAAATACCAGAAGGAGAGGTGACTTGGCACCCAAACAAACCAATGGACAGTTCCTTCCCTCACAAAGCAAACAGGGAAATGAGAAAAGACCTGTGTGATCAAGCCAATTTTGCAGCACAGAAGCTCACACTCTCCCTGCAACAAGAAAGGAGGCAGGGAAGGAAGTGGTTCATTGAACTTTTCCTATTGCCAGCAGTTGTACATTGTTGAGTTGTATCCAATGTGAGATGTAAGATCTCTGTCTTGACATAAGGAAATTATAACTTAAATATATGTGCAGGCACAGTTGCTTAAATCCTCCTTAAAAAACTGACTCCATTGCTCTTGTCTTCCAATATATTTAATATATCCAATATATTCACTGAAATATGTCCTAAACACTAATGTCTTTGCATAATAAGTATAATAGTACATTTGGAAAATAACTGGAGGAAAATGAACAGAATAAAAAAATTGTTACGCACAACAATTTGTGAAGGAGATGATGAAGATGATGTTAATGTCCCAATAAGCCCTGAGGTAAGAGAGAGACTCCTGCCCTCTGCTGTGGTGAACTCTTTCAAAGGCTTCATTTTGGATGATTTAGGGGCATTAGAGTAAGTCTTACTGAGTAATTTGTGGTTCTTCAATCCATCCAATTCTTCCATTCTAAGATTACTGGAGTGGGACCTGCTTAAAAATTTGTGGGGCTTCAAAGTGCTGTTGTGTTCACATTGAGGGTCCTCAGAACATGACCTACTTAATAGCATATGTGGCTTTAAAGTGATGCACTCCTCCTGCTTGACAACTGAAGAGCAAGAACGGTTCAACAGTTTGTGTGATTTAATAGCTATTGTCTGTTCTGCCCTAGCATCACTCAGCAACGAGCAGTCGAAGGTTCTGTGAGATTTTCTCAGTAGCTTGTGAGTTTTGGAGATCCTATCCTGTTCTGACTTCAGTTTTGATTTATTTTTACCACAACCAGGTGGAGGATAACTTGGTGACCTTAAAAATAAAGAGAAGACATAGTTGAAAAATAATCAGTCTTGTGCTAATCCAAAAAAAAAAAAAAGTCCAGATATAGTTACAAATTTTTAAGTACCACCTGTTTTTATGTATTTCATTAGTGATAAACACAGATCAACGTTAAAAAAAAAAATCAATTGTATGTAGGCCTAATTTCCTAATAATAGACATCTTACTCTTATTTGTACAAAAACCCATCCATTGAAAAGATGATTAACTACTTAAGACAAGTGAGAGCTATATCCTTACAGCTCTTTGTAAATACCCCTATATCTCAAAACAAACCAATTATTTAGATTATACTTGAAATGAAAACCACATATTTCACGCAAGATTATATCACATTTTTCTTATCAAAAACTACCTTTCATGCCATCATGGCATGATCCCATTACAGTTATTGTCTTATGGACATGACATAACAAATTTTATGTCCAGATCCAATGAGCAGTGAAACTTGCAGGCAGTAAATAAAATTTAATTCAACTGAAATGGGCATTTGAAAAAAAAAATCACAATAATCTGGGTGCTTTGTGGAAGACAATTGGATGCCCTTCTCTCCTGTTTTAGACAAACTCTAGCTCTGTAACACTAAAATGAGAATGTGAAATTATTGTCATGGTTTAGGAATGTTATTCTCCAATTTAGTACTCCCATTAAAACCACACACCCTTCCCCTCCCTCATCTAATTGGAGACACAAAAGGTAAAGATCACAGGTTGAGATAAGAACAATTTACAGGAAACAGCAATGAGATAAGAAAATGAACAGTAATAGCAACAATATTAATGACAAAGAGTATAAGAAAAGAAACCATTCACATGAACATCCCCCGTGCCTGTGCCTCGACCCCCATGGCTCTCCCCAGAAGAGAGTCCTTTTCCCCTGCCCCTGGCAATGAGGTGAACTGGTAGATCTCTGTGTCCTAGCCATGCCTCCTCCTGGCTACTGCAAAAATTAACCCTGTCCCAGTCAGAACCAGAACAATTATAAATGCAGAAATAAAGAAAAAAGTTTTTTCTGAAAGAACATTCACACGAACTGTAACATTTTAATGAGTTTCATGTTCACCTGTCGTTCCAAAGCAAGAACCAGTATCAAGTATGCTGAATCATTTTTCTACACTTTACAAGCAACCCTAAACTATGTTACCAAGTTATGACAGTGGAAAATGCATGTGGAGGTTACTGACTCACTGTTGCAGTTGGCTAATTACCATCCTTGGGTTGACAGGAGGAAGGTGTGGTGCTTTACAAAGCAAGAGAGGGTCTCTGGTTGGGTTGAGTGGTCTTTGGACAGGCACTGCAGCAGGAACAGCCAAATCAAGAGGAGAAAGACTTAACTGGCTTTTGTATGACCTTTCTGAATAAAACCAAACCCCAAGTTACAGCCTACACTTGGTAATGATGGGTGGCATGGTAGGGAATGGGTAAGTTTTCAACTTAAAACACCATCTTCCTCTTCTACCTTTGAAAAGAGAAAAAATCTTTTGTTATCTTTGACATTCCTCCCTGTCTTGGTTTAAATGACTGCCAAAGAAGGTGGAAACCTTCCTGGAATAGAAAGAAGACCTCTCCCTCTGATTTATTATAACTTTGAAATTAAGAGGCTTTCAGGTAAAAGTGTAGAAAAAGGAATGACAGTTCTTTACTAAAAATATATAGAACGAAAACAGAACAAACAACAACACAGTAACTGAAACTTTCAAACAATTAAGTACTACTTTCCCTTTCGGCAAAGTTATAACCACACCAAGCAGAGGGCGCTAGTGGGGTCTGGTGAAGCAAAGGCTGCAATGACTCATTTAAGGCCGGCAGGGGGGAGCTGTTGGGCTCCAGTGGCAGCAGGTCCACTGCATCTGCGGGAAACCAGTGTGTGAGAGTGATTCAAAGAAATCCTTAAATGATATGTAAAGTACACTTTTATTACGACCAGGGAGATGCAGGGAGTTTTACCCCCCCCCCCCTTCCCCAGTGCATTCTACCGAGTAAAGAAACACAACAGCTTTTTATACATTTGAAGGAGTGAGTTTCAAAATTATCTATCATATACACTCTTTACGAAGTCTGACTTATCTAAATAGACATTTGGTTGTCTAACTCCTTATTACTATAGAGTAGTTACATAAAGTTTTATCATTTCAAACAGCTTAGGTTTCCTCCACCCCTCTTCTGTCTCCCTTGAGATGCTACATGCTAGAAGTCTTTCCTGCTTTCCCTGACAGTCTCTTTTGTTTACATAAGCTAACTTTATCTTAATTGCCCACAATCTTCTTTCTTAATTGCAGCAATCTTCTTTCAAGCAGTTCCAATTTTGCACAGTCACACTTAACATAGCTAAATTTTACTAACATAGTTAAATTTTTATTGTTTTATCTTGTCTTTATTTCAATTCCCCCCTTTTCTTTAAACTAATGCAAATTCTTTTGCATCACCCTTTGTACAGTCCAGAGCACATGTATTTAATGCGCTATGGTCTTAATCCTCCATCACATCCATAGATTGATGATTGTAAGAAGGAAAGCTGCCAGCATCAAGACCAAGACAGGCTGGACCAGGAAGTTAAACAGCTGGGCTGCAGTGGGTGATTGTTTATTGGTTATTCCCAGAAATATGCTCCACCAATGATGTTCTCCAGTCTTTGCCACTTCTGTAATGATGTTTTTAATCTCTGTGGTGTCTTGTTTCACTTGCCACAGCATGCGACATGAAGTAGCATTTACCTTTTCCCTCACTTGTTCAACATCAGGATGATAGAGCATTTTCTGGAGGATATTAATGTCCATGCCTATTTGTAGTTTAGGCACTTCATGATATAACATATATTTATCCGAGACCAATTGCATGGTGGTCATAGGACCAGTGTAACTAAAGTCACATCCTATTATTTTAGCAAAACTGCAAACACAGAAGTTAGTACCATTAGTTAATTCTTCACAATCATCAATAATTATACTTGTGCAAGGTGTCGTGATGCATGCACATCCTTTGCTTACATAGTATACATGGGACTGTGCCTGTGTATTTGGGAACATTTCAAAGGTACACACACTATCTTCCGCATCTAAACATAAATCCTCCTTCTCTGTTATAGCATTTTAACATACATATCGTAGTTGTTCTCTGGGTATACAGGCTTCTGTGTTGACAGTTTGCCATCTCCCTATGTGTCTCAGTTTAAATGAGACACAAGTGTTTTGCTGAGTATGAGTTATGAGGAAGACCCAAACTACTCCCTCTAAGCAATTGTAAGTCTGAAATTAAAAGGTTCCATTGAGAAAAATGTGGAAAAAGGAAAAAAAAAAAGAGTTCTTTATTAAAAGATATATGTGTATTGGCAGAACAACGAAGGAACACAAATAAAACAACCAAACAATAACCCTATACCCAAAAATAATCCTCTTCAAAACAAACAAACAAACAAACAAAGTAAACAGTTCAGTTTGTACCCTTTGGTGCAATTCTAACCACAGTCAGCAAGGGGAGCTGTTGGATCACTAAAGATGCAGAACCTGCAATGCTATGAATCAGTCAGCAGGGGGTGCTGTTGGATCACTGGTGGTCGCCACCTGGCCGGGGCCCCGGGGGGTGTGCTGGAGAGGCCAACAATGAAGATCTTCCCTCCCCCTCACCAGGAAAAGGGAAAGAGGAGGTAAAGAAAGAAAAAAGTCCTTCCCAAGGGGAACTAACTCTGTCTTGCTGGCTGAGTCATATGGTGTGGCTTTCCCCTCTCCTTTGATGTGCACAAGAGCTGCTGCCAAAAAAATGGAGAAGGAAAGGCCTCACGAACAGTTCCTTGCCAATGAAAATCCAAGAAAAATTCCCATCTGGAAGCCAGGTCGAGAGTAAAGCCACCTCCAAGCTCCTGCCACCTGGACCTCATCCCAGCTCAGGCAGCAACAAACTCCTCCCCTGTTTCCCCGGAGAGGAGGAAAAAAAAAAAAATAAAAAAAAAAAGACATCCTCACCCCTCCCCACAGATAATATCTTGAGGGCCATCAACTCGGAATGTGGTTTTACCAACCACTTCTTTTGTGTTAGTTAATGACCCAAACCACAGTCAACCTGCCTGTTCAACATCCCTTTCACACCGTGAGCAGGGGGAAGGGAAAAATTCCTGCTTAGTTTCCCAGAACAATCAAAACCATGGCACTGTGTCCCTGTCATAGCTTCCCCAGACATTATGTCCCATCAGTCTAATTACTATGCCCCGGTGTATTGTTCCTAATGCTAAGACAGGAAATATAGTCTGTTCTTTTGCCTCACAGATGGTAATCACATATGCCTCTATCTGCTCCTGCTTTGAGTTATATGTGAAGTTTACTAATTGCCACCATGCCTGATGTTCTTTCTCAAATTTGGTTGTGGTGTCATTTCTGGATATGATCTCTCTTATTTCTTGAGGTAAAATTCCTGATGTTCCTTTTCTTATAACTCCTGCAACTATGAATTGTATCCATTGCTGGGTTTGGATATACTGTATTGCTTTTGAGACATTTTTTTGTAAACATCCAAAAACATTAGTCACAACCTGAAAATCTTCAGATGTGTGTTTAGTTTACAAGATCATCAAGTCTATAGTAAGAGATTGTGTTTCAGCTATAGTCATTAATGATAATCTTAGTGGCACCTCCAGTTTTCCTAAATCAGAGGTTACAGTGCTTGTGGCAATGGATTTACCATATGTAGGATGGAAAAAGTCCTGTCAAAGATGGACTGGTGAAGAAAAAGAAGAAAACAGTCCAAATGTTATAGAAACTGAAGTTTTTAATGTTGTTTAAACATATCTTTAAATGGTTTTTTGCATTCCTGCAAAGTCACTGCTCCTTCTTCCCAACACCCTCTGCAAAGAACTCTTATCTCCCATGCAGGAATGTCCTGGGAAGATATCCTGAGGTCTTCTCATTGGCCTTTGTTAACCCTTTCCTATTGGTTATTAACTCTTTACCTGATTGTTTTTTCTGTAAGACCCTGAGCTTG